TAAAAGAATCATTACATTTTTGTAATCTATTTCTTTTTGATTAATTCTTTCTTATATTTATTATTCTTGTATTATTTTATATCATTTTTATCTTATTTGTTATATTCATTCACATTTAAATGGTCTTTTCTTAAACTCTCTATAAATTTATGAACTTCAGATATCTTCAAACCAACTAATTTACTAATTGTGTCTATAGTAAATAGAAAATAGTTATTGAATTTCATAATAAACAACTCAAATGTTTATTGAGTGTTATTACAAACAAGTGAATTGTTGAAATGTGTTAATTCATCTTTATTGACACTGAATTTGACAAATGTTGATTTAAAACTGACCACATTTTCCCCCTTTTTCTCTTCTAAACCCCTTTCTTCATATTTTCTAATTCTCTCATTTTTCTGATCACTAACACTAAGACTGATTTGTTAATACCACTAACATCACTTCATTTATCTTAACTTCTATTTCTTCTACACTCATAGCCATTTATGGAGTTTGTCTAAACAAATCACAAAGATTACTAAATGGAATATCTAAGTGTGATTGATCTTCACAACAAGTTTGTTGTCTTTCATCAATACTTAGTTTATTAAGTTCATTCTCAAAACAACAAAACAAACAACACGAATTACTTCAATATAAACATATTCAACAATGAATTTGAGTGTAAAGTGTTGAAGGTATCTCAACAAAATTAAAAAGGGCACGGCATGACATCACTGTTAGAAAGTAAAACAAAGTGTTTTGAGATAAAAAACATAACATCAAGAATGTCAAACTATCAAAACAGAAAATATAAGAACTATCTCTAGAACACCACTCAAACAACATCAACAGACAAATATGAAAAGATTTTATGAGAAGTAGAGTGAATTAATAAAGACATGAAATGATATTTTGAAAACATCATAAGTTATATCAGCAGTATCAGAAGAAGAAACAAATGGTGTAAAATATGATGGAAATGACAGTTATGAATGAAAAAAAGAATAAAAGTACATTCACTAAATCTTACAAACAACATAAAGAACAAAAAAAAAAAGAAAAGAAACAGAAAGGAATAGATTCTCATAATGATTATTTTTCATAACAAGAATATTTGATATTTTTTATTATTATTTTTTTATTAATTTATCTTTTTTGTTTTTTATTTAAATATTTTGTTATTTGATTATTAAATTCTTTCTTCTTCATTTCTTTCTATATTATTATTGTATTATTATTGTATTATTTTGATGTTTTTGTTATTATTTTGTGATTTTCATTAGATTTATATTGTTTAAATGTTGAATAATTAATAAATTGTAGATAAATGAATTAAAAATATCATGAATGTGAAAATGGAATATTTATCATTTCATTTATTTTATTGTTATAAATAATAAATAATCATTAATTTCGATATTATAATGATTTGATGTGAATATTTATGAATTTTACATATTGTTCATTATATTTACATTCATTACTGGTATTATATCTGATAATGTTGTTAAATTATATCATTTTATATTTTCATTAATTAATAATCATATTAAATATTATTCTTATTCATCTATCTTATTCATTTCTTATTATTTATTATTTTATTATATATGATAAATAAAAGATAATAAAATAGAAATAAAAGAATAAAATAAAGAAATATAATAAAATGAATAATAAGAAGAAAGAATTAAATAAAATGAATGATAATAAATATAGAAAGAAATATATAACAATATGAGAAATAAGAAATAAAAGAAATAGAATAGTTTATATAAGAAATGAAAAATAAATATAAATAATAAATAATATAACAAATAAATTGTTTTTAAAGTAATAAGAAATGAAAGAATAGAAAGAATTATATAACAAATCAAATGAAATAATGAATAATAAACAATAATATGAAAATATTATATAAATATAATAAATAATATAATAAAATGAAACATAATAAATTATAAATAATATGAATATAATTGTATTTCATTATGATATTATTATTTTCATTATTTCTTTATTTTTATTCATTAATTATTATTTCTATTTAACTTTAATTAATAAATTGTGTTTCTTTAATTTCAAATATATAATATAATAATGATAATTAAATATATTTCATAAATTGAATGTATAATAATCTAATATATTAATAAAAACACAATTTAAAGTACAATTTCAAATAGCTATATCATTGTTCTATTTATTTTATTGACATTTATTTTATTTTGAAATATGAAATAAATAAATTATTTCATAACAACATATATTTTATACAATCATTTGATTATTTCATTTATCATTAATTTCACATATTATTTATCATATTTATTATATTTTATTCTTTATTTTATTCTTATTCTCATTATTAATTAATTATATTGTTATTTTATATTCATGAAATACATCTTGTTATGTCATTGTTTTCATTATATTTATTCATTTATTTTTGTTACGAATTATGAAATAATAATAATATTTTGTTTATTTTACATTTAACAGTTATTGAATGTTTGAATAAAAATGGATTTATTGATTTACAACATAATGAATAAATCATTAATTTGATATATATATTGAATAATGTATTTATTTTAATATGAAATATTTAATAATTCATAATAAATTCATAATAAAATAAATTCTTTTTCATTTCAAGATATTCTCAGTCAAGTGAATTAATTATTTCAGTCATATAATATTTTGAATTCTATTTTTCATATTTTGTTTCTTTTTATTCATTTTATCTTCATCATAATATATCTTTTATTTCTTTATTTTCTTTTGTATCTCTTTACCATTTCATTTTTCTTTATCATTTCTTGTTTTAATTTTAATTTTTATTCTTTTATTTCTCCATCATCTTTCTTTAATATCATCAACCTTTTCTTCTTTTCTATCTTTATACTTTTTATATTTATATTATTTCTTTTTTTATCTTTTAATGAATATTGTTTATATACATGTCATTAATTTCATTTCTGTGTAATGCTCTTCTTTTTTTTCTAATTGAGTACATGGCCCTTTTGATATTATCAAATCTAATCATATTCTCTTTCACTATATTTAATATTTATATTTTGTCTTCGATTTCTTATTTTCTTAAACATTTCAAAGAGAATATACCATTATCTATCATCCATATTTATAAATAACATTGCACCATTGTTAAATATTGCTTTTATTCTTCTCTCCTTATTAGTATTCATCCATTTCAAATATTTATTCAAATATATGTTGTTGAAATTTTTATAATTTTTATACTTATTTTGTGGTGTTTGGTTCATAATAATTTCCTCTCCAAAGACAAAATAAGGAAAGAAATATAAACTAACACAACAACTAAAAATAAGAAAGGAGAAAAATAAAAAGACATCACAAAAAACCCATAATCAATTTAATATCCTTTAAACAATGAATTTAAGAAAGTACCATCAGAAAACAAAAAATAAAGAGCAGGAAAACTATAATAAGAAACTTAAAACCAAAAAATTATGTAATATTAATAAATAGAGAATAACACATGAAAGTCTTGTAAAAGCACCCACAACTTCAGTTGTGTAATTGTACAATTCGTTCACCTTTCTCTATTTCTTTATATTAAATATTATATGTTATTATTTTATATATTATTTTTATCTTACATTACATCATATTTATTCAAGTATGGTAATGAATAAAATGATATTATTATCAACGTCACACAATGATAATCAATAAATGAATTAACATAATATTTAATCATTTTATCAATTACAATACTCTTTCAATTTATTATTTTTATTCAAGTTCTCTTTTGTTTTTCTTGATAATTCAATAAATATGAATTTTAAAGGAAAAAAAGAATGACCAAATAAAACAAACACTAATCAAATCAGTTTTAAGATATTTTTATAATCAATCAGTAAATAATGATTTTAATATGATAAATTCAATTTATTTAATAATCCCTTCTTTTAGGGAAAGTTTGTGCTAACTTCACATCTATTTTCATTTTAATAACTTCTTTTAATCCTTGAGAAACTAATTGTCTTTCCTTTGAAGAAGAAGGAAGAGATTCCATAGCTTTTTCTAAAGAATCTTCAATAAACACTAATTGCATATACATTGAGTCAGTGTCAAGAGTATTAGATGTGTTAAAAGTTAATTCTTTTTGAATTTGCTGTAAAGAAGGAGATTTTGTTTTCCTTTTGTCTTTTTTGAGGGTTTGAATAGGGAAAAGAACTTCAAAAAGAGGACGACCTTTTTCTTTTTCAGTAATAATAGCACAATGAGTAATGAAATAAATAGAGAAATCATTGGGATAATTAAAAAAGATATTAAAAACATTTACTCCATCACCACTACAAATTTTACTTCTTGGTAATAACATTAATACAACACAAAGATAATTTAAAAGAGATAATGGATTATTATGGGCAAATAAGATATCCCAAATATAATATAATTCATTAGTATTAAACATTTGACAAAAAAGAATTCTAACCCACCTTAATAAAAATAGTTGTGGTTCAACACCAAGAGTAGAAAACATTTGATAAATATGTGGATCTTTAACTCTTAATATTTCTGCTATTTGTTCACAACGAAATAGTATTGTGTTAGAACTGTTTTCAGTACTTTCATACCATATATTTACAATATCCATTAAATGCTCAAAAAGACAATAAACATCATGTTCAAGGTATTGAGGAGAGAATAGTTGTCTTAAAAGTGTATTTGTCTGTGAATTTTTTTGTTGTTCAAGTAATTTTGATATCTTTGAATAATCTATAATAGTTACATTAAAAATTACAGCAATTAATTCATTCATTCCTTGTGTATAATTAAGTTCAGGATGTTTAATAGCAAAAAGAAATAAAATACGATGTAACATTTGTCTATTTTCACACGTTTGAAATTTCTTTTCTAATTTAGTTCTTCTAATATCTTTTTTAATATCCCATGATACTTTTACTTTCTCTGTGTCAATACCAATACTTTCATTTGGATCTGGTGCAATAAGATTTGCTTCATTTGAATATGATTCTAATGGGTTAGAATTACTTAAATAAATAAGTTCATTTGAATATTTAATACAAAGCTCTTCATATTTTTTTCTTTCTTCATTTATAACAGATGTCCATAATGAACTATCTTCTGGTAAACACTTTAAAAATAGTCTCCATCGAAGACTTAATAATAAATTTTTTATTTCACATAGATGAATATCTCCCCATAAAGTTCTTTCTCTTTCTTCTTTAAAATTATATTTTAATATTTCTATTTGTTCTGTAACTTTTTCATATGTCAATTGGTTTGTTGGTGGTTTAACAATATCACATATTTTTGCTGTTTGATCAAGAAACATTGAATGTATTAATTCAAATGACATAAAAACAACTGGGATTTGGTGTTGCTTATTGTAAGAAGGCATGTGTTGACAATAGAAGTTTGGAAGTACTGTTCTCAAATCAAACATCCTAATTCAAATTATTTACAGTTCTTTTTTAGTTCTATTCTTTTTGAAGAAGAATATTTTATTAAAAACATGTAATTAAATGAACAACGTTAAGAAAATACTTTTTTAAAATCATCAAAAATAAAGAAAATTTTGAAGTATTTAAATAGAACTTAAAATTAAAGATCTGGAGTAAAGAATTCTGATAATGAATCACTATGAGAATAGAATTCTTTTATAAATGAATATAATACAGTAAATAAAGAAGGAAATTTAAAATGGAAATATTCATAAAATCCATCAGGGAAAGTACCATATAAATCTTTTTCTTCTTGAGGAAGGGTATAATAATGATGAGACTCATTTCTAATTACACGAAGAAGATCAATTGTATGATTAAAATCATAAATACGGTATTTATTTATTGTCTGTAAAATAATTGGAGAAAGTTCTTTGTCCCATTGAATAGCAACACCAGCACTATCAAGCCTTTTAGAAATAGTATAATTTTTATCAGCAATAATAATATCAGAAACTTTTTGAATAAATTCTAATCGTTTTTTACAATTCCAAAATAATGGATGACTAAGTACTTCTTCAATAGTAATTCTTTCATTTGGAACTTTTTTATTCATTCCATTAAAACATGCAATAAATTCACTTTGATATAAATTATCAAAACTACACTCTGTTTTAATACAAATTCCTTTTAAAATATTATTTTGTCTAACAAGAGAATCTCCGTATGGATGTTTTCTTGTTGCAATATAATAAAATAAACATCCTAATGTAAATATATCAACTGCTTTTGATAATCTTGGACTATCATCTAACATTTCTGGTGCTTGCCATCCAATACTTCCTTTAGTAGTAGAATTACTAAAAGATGATGTAGATGGATCTAATTTTTTTGCTAATCCAAAATCAGTTATTCTAATCCCTCTATTCTCATCAATTAAAACATTTAATGGTTTAATATCTCGATGTACAATTCCTAATGAATGTAAATAATAAACTCCAATTGCACATTCTTTCATTAATCTAACACGTTCTTTATTTAATTTCATTAATCTTTTTGAATTATTATTTTCTTTTTTTTCTTCATTAACTTTTTCATTTTCGATTTCTTCTAATTTAATTAAATAATCATCAAGAGTATATGGACAAAATGTGATAGCCAAATACACAAAATTATCATCTTCAAAACTACCATAATAACGAACAAGATGTGGTTTTTCATCTGTCATATTAATAATCTTCATTTCATTATCAGCAAATGAATAAAATTCTTTTACCATTCTTTTTACTGCTACTTTTCTTCCATTTGCTGTTCCTTCAAATACAATTGTTCCTAAACTACCATGTCCTAGTACTTTTTTAGAACAACTAAATTGTTCTCCAATATAATTCATATCTTTAGGAATATATTTAGTTGGTGTCATATGAATTGAAAGAGAAGATGAATTAATTCCTTTTTGAATATAATTAATATAAACAAGCATTACAACAACAATAAATCCAAGTATCACAGTGATTAATGAAAGAATTAATATAAATGTTGTTTCACTATTTTGTTGGATATCTTCTTTTCTTTTCATTTTTGTAGAGTTTTGTTTTAATTCTTTAATATAACTTTGTATATCTTCATATTTATTAAATTCATCTTTTGTTATTGATTTAAATTCTTTAGAAGTTATTGTTTGATCATTTACTTGTTCTAATGAATCAATATAAATTGCACTAAATCTCATTTTATTTTTTCTATCCATATTCTTTTGATTCGTAACTTCATTTTCTGTATCAAAACAAACATTAAGATAATCTGGAACAATAGAATAAACTTGTTGTTGATTGTCATAAGCAAAATTTCCTAAATAAATTTGTTGATTTTGTATTGATGAATAATGAATGTTTATCACTTCTAAAAAATTACTTCTACGATGATAAATAAAAGCTTTCATTGGAATAAAACTAATAGATTGACTCCATAAAGTTAAAAAATGAATTGAGTCATATAATTCTAATCGTTGTGTGTTAATATCAAATCGAAGAACATTACTATTATTCTTTGGTACTTCTAAATCGTATAATGATATTGTAAATTTATTACTAATTATTAATAACTCATTAACGCTTAATTAATTTATAAAACAAACACTATTCCATCTCTTTCAATTGATGATATTTGATATTGTGTAACTACAAAAGGTAACATATCTTTAATTCCTAAATACGAACTACAATTGTCTTTACAAATCATTCCTGAATCTAAATCAAATCCATATCGATGAATAAATCGATAAGTAATATATTCTTTATTGTATAAAACAAATGGACTATTCTCAAAAATATTTTTAATGGAATAACTAAATTTTTTAAATTCACCATTTGATGAATCAAATTCAAATAATGAATATGATGAATCGATTGATGGTAATAAAATTTCTTCTGAATTTGTTTTAATAAATGGATCAAGTTGTTGACTTAACCACATCAATTCTCCATTTTTAGCTTCATGCATTGATAAATACCCATCGACATGTACTAATATAACAAAATCTTCATTAATATGACTTTTAACACTCAAGACAAAACAAATAATAAAAAAAACAATCACCATCTTTTCAAAAGTAATCTATCAATTTTAAGTTTCTTTTTACTTTTTCTTTTTTTGTTATTCTTATCCAATAATTAAAAAAATTGAATTAAAAAATTATTTTGTTATTTTTTTGTTGGAAAAAGACTCTTTAATGGATCTGGTCTTACTTCATTTAAATCTAATAAATTTTCTTGGACGGTTGATTGTCCTTCTTGTGTTTCTTCACTATTGTTGTCTTTATCAATGTCATCAAGAATAGGATATGTCATTACTTCTTGGTTATTAATTTGGCTTACTGACTTACTTTCTTTTACTTCATCATTATTATTAACAATAACTGGAGATATCATAGGTTTAATAGAATTACTTGGATTAGAAGTGTTTGTAGAAACCTTTAATTTTAATTCATCATCTTTAGAATTAATAATACTCTCTGTAACTTTTGCCATATCAACATACCCTGTATCAAAGAAATCATTTCCTTTTTCAAAATCATCAGCACAATTTCCATTTAATGAATGAACATCAATTAAAGGTATTTCTTCTTGTGAATCTTTTTTCTTTCCTACGAACAATTGTCCTACTCTTTCTTTAATACCTCCTTTATTTGTATTGTCGTATTTAGTCTCAACAAGTCCTCCAGTATTTCTTTCCCATGTCAGAACAATTCTATTTCCTTCTTTCTTAATCATTCTAATTGACCCATTTTCCATTCGTTTAAACTGTTTATTAACTTCTTCTTCATATTTTGGTGTCATTGGGAAAAAAGGAGAATTAAGACTTGTCAGAACATGTGTAAGCATCATTGCATTGACTTCAGTCAATGCCATAGGATGTTCAAGATATGCAAGTCTTAATTTTATTCTTCCACTTGTGACATTATCAGTAAATGGAGTAGGTTGTAAATAAAACCAATCTTCAATAATTGAAGGGAAAGGTAGTAAAGTTAAATCAATGTTAATATTACCAAGATAAATATCAGGATTTCCTTTGACATATAAAAATACATTAACATTTTCTCTCAATTCATCTAATTCAACTGCAAGTGTTTTTGGAACAAATGTTGGGTCAGAACCTTTTGCTGGTTCAGTTCTTAAAACTCTTTGAAAATCAGTAAAAACCATCACAACTACTTCAGGATGTTTCTTACTACAACAAGGTAGTCCTTCTGCATTAATTGGTAAAATGTTTAACACACCTTTTGAATGAGCTAAAACATGTTGTGGTTTAATCATATTAATATCTCGTGGATCTTTCCATGATGTTGTTTTATGTATGACATCTATATAATATGTTTCATTATGACTATTTCCAATAATCCATCCTTCTGGTAACATAGAATTAGTAAATAATGGATAAACTTCATCCATTGGATCACCATCTTTAGTTCGTTGTAAACAACGTTTTATATGATTTAACCAAACATTTCCTGAAAATTCAGTAACACCTTCTTGTAACCCATCAACGATAGAAGATGGGAAAGGAGGTGGTGGTCTATTATGAATACCAAAATAAGGAGTAGAAGGTAATGTAACACCACAAACTTTTGCATAATACGACCTTATATTATTGTCTTGTGAAGTAATAATAGTAACTGGAATAAAGATTTTTAATGGAGCACCCATTTGAGTAAATATTTCAATCAATATAAAGTGTTCAAATTTAAAGAACTGAGTTACAATTGTTGGTGGAACTGAAGGTAAAACATCAATTAAAAATCTCTTTGGTTCTGGTCCAAGTGGGATAACAGTTGAGTTTAAGGTTATCCTATGAATACATCCAGGAGCAGTATACATTGCCACTAAACTTAAATGTGCTCGATAAATTGGTTTACCAAG